AACCCTAACAGAGGATATCTCCCTTTGATTCACATGTGCCCTACTTCTGTTCCAAGTAGCAATAATATATCAGTTTCGTTTGTTTGTATCCACCCTGTAGAGTGTTTACTTTGACTTTATACATAAATTAGATGGTTACACCTTACATATTGGTTGTGGCAGGCCTTTGACAAAAAAGGTAGTGTAAATCTGTCCCGTCTGTCATGCCAGAATTGGCCTCAAGTTACCGGTATTTATTCTTGAACCTACTTTGGGACAATTCTGATGGTTTCCGTAAATATTTCATGCATCATGAGCATTTTTTTGGAAGGCCGTTCCCAGCGATTTGTTTTTATGAACGAGTTCGTGAATACTCATTCTGTGGCACAGCCCGGAAAAACTGCCGCATGCGCATAATCCTAATGTTGCGCTGTGAGCCTCTGGAACAGCAGTGGATTCACAACGTAACGAGAGACTGTCCTCTTAGTTACATTGTTAGAGTTTACAAAGTAAATTTAATTCGAAAGGGCATGTACAACGATATGTAACAGAGTTCCCCCCCCCCCCCCCACAGAAGTGTGGGACGAGTCTACGAGTGATACTTACCCAAATAGCTACTACATATGCATATTTATTCAGCCGACAGGCTCAAATGCTAAAAGATTTAATCAACCACCGAGCGCCCTCTCGGGGCCTACCCATCATGCTACGTCATGAATCCGCTATTATACTTCCTCTTTTTTCTCGCACACTAAAGGTGAAAAACCATCGTAACGCGAGCCGAGAGTGGGGAGGAGGGCGGGAAGCTATTTGGGTAAGTATCACTCGTAGACTCGTCCCACACTTCTGTGGGGGGGGGGGGGGGGGAGTCTACTTCATTCACTTACCCAAATAGCTACTACATATGCATAGAGTGGCACCGACAATCGGTGGCTGGGTAGGCGAGACGCCCTGAAATCAAATGGTTAAACAACAGTATATATATATATACATAATGATTTAGACCATTTAGATTGAATATACATGTAAATGTATTACCTGCTTAGTTAGTCTCCTGGCCAGGCCGGGAAGAACTACTGCGCAGGGTAGGGTTCGTACGTAGACGAGGACTGGTGTTGTGTCAGTACCATCTTCCCTGTGTTCCCTCCAGTCTGGAGTACATCACGTAGGTAGCAGGATGTGAATGTCGTGGCAGACTTCCAGCATGCTGCTTGAGAAATCTCTGAAATAGGGACTCCCCTAAAAAATGACAAGGACGCCGCTACGGCGCATACGTCATGGGCTCGGACAAGGCCTTGGACAGAAGCATCCTTTTTGGATGGCCAGTCCGCATTCGCAAATTTGATAGCAGCTACTACCCAACGCGCAATGGTGTCCCTTGAGGCGGGGCCATGTGGCTTTATGGTTGTAATAAAGAGCTGCATGCATTTATCCCTAAGTGACTTAGTGCGTGCCAGATACCATTTTAGGGCGCGCACTGGGCACCATAATTTGTCTGAGGGGATAGAAGAGGTTGACTCTATTTTTGGGAGGAAAATATCAGGAGGGCTGAAACTTGCCGTCTGATTTTTCGTCAGGAAGGACGCCTTTGGGATCAGGCGAACCCCACCTGGTTCCCAGCGGATATGTCCCGAATCTAAAGTCAACGCATGGATCTCGCTGCTACGCCTAGCGGTAGCCACTGCGAGCAGGAAGGCCAACTTTATAGATACATGAATGAGGGGTGCTTGGCCCAAGGGCTCGTATGGAGCCTTGGCCAAAATGTTCAGGACCTGACCTAGATCCCAGGATGGGACCAGTTTCCGGATTGTAGGTCTCTCGTTGAACATTCCCCAGAGTAGGTTAGTGATTGCAACATTAGAGGAGATAGATGAGCCATCAGCGAAGCCTTTGTGAATTGCTGCTATGGCTGATCGATAATTTCGTATCGTTCCTACTGACAAATTGGTTCTGAACAATGACAGTAGGAATTCCGAACAATGGCTTAAAGAAGCACAGAGCGGATCCACAGCCTGTTCTGCGCACCACCTACTATAATGTCGTAGTCGACTGTCATAGATTCGTCGTGTTGAGAGACGACGTCCCTTTGCGGCTAGAGCTGCAGCGTCTTCAGAAAGACCTGCTGCTCGGTAGGCACGCTTGACAGTGGCCAGCACGCTAAGTGGAGATCTCCCGGAGATGGGTGTCGGAACCGGGACTGAGGTTGAACAAGTAGGTCGTGACGATCTGGGAGGATTAGTGGGGAGCCCACTAGGAGCCTCACCAGTCGCGGAAACCAGGGCTGACGCGGCCAAAAGGGGGCGATCAGCAGGATCTTGCACCTGTCTCTCTCCAGTTTCCCGATGACCTTTGTAAGGATTGAGATCGGGGGGAAGGCGTAAGCGAACATGTTTGTCCAGTCTATTGATAGTGCGTCCGAGGCCCATGCATGAGGATGATGGGCTCTCGAACAGAACACCGGGAGCTGAGTGTTGACTGCTGAGGCGAACAGGTCTATGTGTGGATGACCTAGGATCGAGAAGATCTGATGTACGATCCTCCTGTTCAATGACCACTCCGTGGGAACTACTTTGCCTCTGGAGAGAGAGTCCGCTATGTCGTTTTCCGCACCAGGAATGTGAATGGCACGTAGATCGACTTTGTGTCTGATTAGCCACTGAAACATTTCCCAAGTCCGGTAGCACAGCTGGGGTGATTTTGTACCGCCCTGTTTGTTGATATATGCTACCACTGTCGTGTTGTCGGTCTTGATTAGAACAGACCGACCCACTACGTCTGCCTGAAAGTGGTGTAGGGCATTGACTACAGCCTGGAGTTCTAGAACATTCATATGTAGGGACCGAGTGTTGTCGTCCCAAGTGCCTGCAGCTTGTCGAGGGGGAAGGGAGGCTCCCCAGCCCTCGTTGGAGGCGTCGGTGGAGATTATGACGTGAGGATCCCCTCTGGGGAAGCTCCGTCCGCACCGAATGTTCTGTTCCAATAGCCACCACCGAAGGTGTGGCCGAATGACATCGTCGATCGAGACCAATAGAGAGATTGGATCTGTCTTTGGTCTGTAATGTGCCAGAAGATGCATTTGCAAAGGACGCATCCTCAGTCTGCACCATGGAACCAGGTCCACTAAGCTGGCCATGAACCCTAGAAGTTTCAGCCAAGCTCGGGCTGGAGCGACTTGAACGGATAGGAAAAGTTTGACGCACTTCAGCAGGCTGGTAACACGTTCCCCTGTGGGGACGGCTATGCCCCTGCGTAAATCGATCTCTGCTCCCAGGAAAGTGATTTCCTGGGACGGGATTAGGTGGGACTTCTTTTCGTTGATGATGAAGCCTAGCCTCGTCGTCAACGTATAAGTATCCCTCAAATTCTGAGCAGTCTGGCCTTCTGATTTTCCCACTATCAGCCAGTCGTCGAGATACATAAAAATCATTATGTTTTCTCGTCGGAGACGTGATGCCACTGCCCGCACAACCCTGGTGAACACTCTTGGCGAGGTTGATAGCCCGAAGGGAAGGGCAGTGAACTCGTAAGTGCGCCCCTGATACCGAAAACGAAGGAATCGGGAGTGCTCTTGGAAGATGGGGACGTGTAGGTATGCGTCTTTTAGGTCTAATGACGCTCCCCACGCTGGTGTGGGTAATGACTCTAGAACTACATGGAGAGTTTCCATTCGGAAACGTTTGGGTCTGACCAACTTGTTGAGCGGTTTCAGATTGATTATCGGCCGCCATTCGCCAGCCGCCTTCTTTGGTGTTAGAAAGAAGGAGGACAGGAAGCCTTTGAACTGCTCCATTGGTGGCACCAAGCGGACCGCTCTCTTCTCGATGAGGGATGAGATCTCTTGTTCGAGAGCTAATCGTTTGTCTGTGTTTGCCGGAACCGGTGTTTCGCAAACACATATTTCCGACGGAGGGGTGCTTGTAAATTCTAGTTGATAGCCGTGGCTGACTATAGAAAGCACCCATGCGTCGGAGGTGATCTCTCTCCAGGGCCCTACGAAATTTCTGAGACGACCCCCGACGGGCCCCAGTGTCGGGGTCGGCTCGGTAGGGGCGTCACCGATGCCACCCAGAGCGGGGGGCCGATTGCCCACCGCCACGTCCCCGGCCGCTAAATTGGCGTGCAGGGGCAGAGTAGGGGCGTGGAGCTGAAACCATTGCACCAGCTGATGCCTTGGCCGTCTGTTGGCGAAAAGGCTTGAACGGTTTCTTAAGGGCAGGGCGAAACGAGGGAGCACCCTTCGTTGCCTTCTTCCCAGAGAACTTGGGCTTGTTAGTGGCTGAAGGCTTCTTCAAGCTCAGTTTGTCTGCTGTCTCAATTCGTGCATTTAGCCTCAACTTCCAGAATTTCCTGGAATTTGCCTCCGAAAAGGTCTTTGCCCATAAGAGGAAGGTCTTCTAACTTCTTCTTAGCGCCCTCGTGTGGTATGTAAAGTGCATCCATCACGTTAGTCCTACGTGACTTGGCAGACAGGATAGAGATTCTCGTAAATTGGTCTAGAGAGAAACGGAGTATTTCGTCCAGACACCGGAAGGCCGCTGCTAACATATCGGCTGGAATTTGTGAATCTTCCTCACATGCGCAGACGATATATTCAGATAACAGAAGTAAAAAGGCGCTTGTTTGTGAACCAAATCTAGCCGCCTCATCGACCTTCTTCATTGTATCCTCCATCTTTGCTCTAGTCTTATCGACAAATATTGACTTGGTCGGGGCTTTGGCGCTATCTCCAGTCAATTTGTCCTTGGCCGTATCCGGAATAGAAGGAACCGTAAAGAAATCGTTTCGGTCCTTTTCTGGAAATTGGAAATAGGCTGCCGACCTTTTGTTGAAAGCCGTCCATTTCTTTGAATCGGCGATGCGTTGTATGCGATCGGCGCATAAACGATCCACCGGCATAGTTGGGAAAGCTGGATCCCGAGGTTCCTCCACGCCAGTCCGGCGTTTGAAAGAACGACGGGTGGTCTCTGGTTTACTGCTCTCTGGTAGTTGCAGTACCCGAACCATATCTCTTTGAACCAGTCTCAGCTGAGTCTCAAATGGCAAAAAATTGCCAGGGTCAGTGGTTCCTCTCTCATCCCGCCCGAAATCGGCAGGATTGCGCCCGGATCCGGCTGAATTAAGCCCGGATCCGGCCGGATCGCGCCCGGATTCGGCCGGATTGGACCCGGATCCGGCCGGATCACACCCGGATCCGGCAGGATTAGACCCGGATTTGGGTCCGGAAATGTGGCCGCCGGGAGCGACCTCTGAGTCACCATTGGGGCCGATCTCCATTGTTGTTGTTTATTAAGGGCTGCTAGCGAAACGTTGATGTCCTGGAAAGCTTTTAGAAAGATTTCTGTGGATACACCTTTGTTTTTCTTTTTCCGATGCGTCGACTTACGGGGGGAATCCCCTGAAAAAGACGGCGCGGCCTTGTGTTTCCTTTTCTTGCTTGGGTGACTTGATTCACTGGATGAAAACTCTGATAATATCCTGGGAATTCCGGAGCATTGATCGAAGAATGATGTTGACTGCGAGTCCGTGGCCCGAATTGGGGGAGGAGGCAAGTCAGTCACCGCGAGTCCTGCCCATTCCGCACGGGTGGAAGCAGGATGCTCGGAGCGCGATGAACGCGCAGACGGGGCCGGTGAGGATTGAATCCTTTTACCGCTCCGTGACTGGTCGTCCCCGAGAGTTGCTGGAGCCAGCAGACCGGGGGGACGAGGCGAAGAAATTCCCGCGAAACCACGGGAAATCGACGCCGGGTTGCTAGGTGACGCCGATGGTCCGGAGACCGGAGGCGTAATCGAGCGACTATTGGTCCCTTTTTGGGTCTTACCCTTGGGACCGCTGGTGGCCTTTGATGTGGCCTTTTTAACCCCGGAACCCTTACGGCTGGTCGCCTGGGGGGCCGTGGTTACACGGGGAGTTTTATCCCCAGTATCCTCACGGTGTTCCATACCGTAGGACGTATGTTTGATGCCGGTCAAAACGCGTAAACACGGGATGACCGTTACAAACTACGGCGATGTCCCTGCGTGGGGACTCACTGCTATCTCGTCTTTTCGTACTATTGTACTACTGAGATATATGCAGTTGAGAACAGCCGAGGGGAAGGGAACGACCGCTGGTCGTTGTACCCCACGGAATTTCTCTTTACACGCCTGGCGAGGCGGCCGAGGGAAGTGAACGGCCAGCGGCCGATATACCCACGAATATCTCGCCGCTATCTCGTTTGTCACCGCACTACCGAGATAGCTTAGGACGGACGAGGGGCAGGGAACGACCTCTGTCGATATACCCGACGAAACGTCCTCTTCTAGCTTACTAGCTCCCCGAGCTAGCTGAAACAGTCAGGGGGGAAGGGAACGACCTCTGTCGATATACCCCCACTGTACTCGTCTCGCTAGGCCCTAGGTCACTGCGAGCTTAGGGGAAACGAACGGAGAACAGGGAACGGCCGAAACCGCTATATTCTTCGAAACGTTTCGCTAGTCCCCTGAACGGCCGAAAGTCTGACTTCCGGAACAGGGGCCCCACGTGTGGGGCAACTAGCAGACCTTGTGGAGAATAACCGCACTTCTCTCCGGGGATATACGACGCACTGTCTCCCCTAAAGGTCTTTATGGATTTCTATGGAGTCATAAAATAAATGCACTGCTTTTTTTTTTTTTTTTTTTGACAAAGAAATATTATTATAAGATAACTGTACAACAGAAATAATAATAATAACTCAGGAAAGCCGACTCGGCTAAAATGGGATTGCACTCGATCCCAAAGGGAGAACCCAAGATGCCTACCCGGCACTGGGCTAGCCCCGCGGTGCCGACCTGGCCCGCCGCACGCGGTGTCAGACAAAGGCTGAAAAGCCTGCTACGCCACGTGAAAGAAAAACGAAAGCAAAATGACTCCAAAATCACTCCAAATGAGAACTACTTAACTCAAAACAAACTCTACAGATTCTACACAACTCACTTGGTTGATAAATTCTATAAAACAGAAACTCTTAAAGCGAAAATCGTACAAAAACTCGTCAAAAGGCGAGAGCAAAAATATTTGCTTCTGCACGATGCCGTCGCTAAGAAAAAAGAGGAAGTATAATGGCGGATTCATGACGTAGCATGATGGGTAGGCCCCGAGAGGGCGCTCGGTGGTTGATTAAATCTTTTAGCGTTTGAGCCTGTCGGCTGAATAAATATGCATATGTAGTAGCTATTTGGGTAAGTGAATGAAGTAGACTGTAAACTTGTACGTTGTAATGAAAAGCGCAAAATATTATGCATAATCGGTAGTTTTATGGTTAGTTTTATAGGTAGTAAAAAAGAAATTTGTGTTAACACCATACATCGTAACGCAAGAGGTGAGGCACGTTCGATGCATTTCCTTTTTTGGCAGGTTTTTTGGGCCCTTATATTTTTCAAAAAATTGTCTTGGTTTTAAATTTCTAATTAAGACCAGTTTCTATTTTAAGGATAGGTAGTTTTGATTTTATTTTTGTAAATAAAACACCGGCAGATCACCGGCAAGACAAATTGTAAAACAATCATAAGATTCATATCATACATGGTTGCACAGGTCTCTAACAGAAAAAGTCATCGGCAATTGCAATTTATTTCCATCTACTACCCCTTACCAAACTAGACTGCTATAATAGCATGTGCATAGCAGTTCAATAGCATTTAAACAGCATGTGCATGCTATTATAGCATCCACATAGCATTCACAGAAAATGATGACTGGATGACTGCTAACTTTTGCAGTCCATATAGCATTCTCAATAGCATGCAGAATGAAAATAGCATTCCAAATAGCATGCGAGCTTCAAAGCATTCTGCATAACATGCAAGTGAAAGAGGGAGGACTGCAAATTGAGTACAGCATTCCAATTTAGCAGTCAATTGTAAAATAATTTTAAAGTATAGCATTCCGTGGCTAAACATAGCCTGCACAATAGCATTTCAATATATAAGCCAATCATATCATGGACTACAAGTCACATGATCAGTGATGGCCTTGTACATTCCACAGATTAACAGTCAGTGTGGGAAATTTGAAAACTGCAGTCAGTTGAATATTGTCAGTGCAGAGTGCAGTAGGCTGCACATAGTTTTGCAAGAAATTGTAGAAAGCATGGACATTACCTTATGGCATGAATGCTTGTGGATATAATTTCATGTTCACATGCATGCACTCAACCTGTACATTGTTGTACATGTACATGACAAAATACACTGGATGACTGGCTGAAAGTCTTTGGAATTGACAACTTAAAAGCAACAGTTGAACCAAGCAATATGGAGCCTCCATACACATGTATGCAACACATTCACAAACTGCTTGTATTTGGTAAGTCTACAGTTTGTACTACCAATGGGTCTATATTCCTACATGGTGGGTATTCAGTTTTTGGCTAGATAAAGACAATTTTATTCTGGCTTTGATTATGTTAGTGTTCATGGTGTATGTGATGTTGAACATTCCTTCATCCAATTGATTGAATTTTTGAATCAGCTGGATATCGGATGATAACTGTTTTAATTGTGATGCCAACTGGCATAAAAGTGACTACTGGTTGCTTCAAAGATAATTCAAATTATAAGCAGAGAATTGTTGCATTAAATTTCTGGCCATTGCTTTTATAAGCATGACAATGTTAAACAAAAACAAAGAGTGTCCCCATGTTTGTACAGCAATTCTGAGGCTGATAAAGTCTTAAAGAACAATTTTCTTATTTCATATATTTTGATCACAGTCTGTATACATAGGTCTATTAAATTTCAAAATGGTGTTAGCTGTGTTAAATATGGTTCAATACATGAAATTATTAAAGCTGATATAACACAAGTAATTTTTGGTATAAATTGTGACATTGAAAATGTATGTTGTAGGATGCCCCTGTCCATGTCACGATATAGCAGTCATGATAGCATTCACATAGCATGCATCATAGCATGCGAATGCTATTCTCATAGCATGCGAATGCTATTCTCATAGCATGCGAATGCTATTCTCATAGCATGCGAATGCTGTTATAGCATTCACGTTTGCATGCCTAAATAGCATTCTCCATAGCATGCGAATGCTATAGCTCATTTACATAATTCGGGCTTCTGACATGCTATAAAACTGCTATCTGATTGCTATCCTCAAGGAATGCTATGAAAAATGCTTTTAGGAAGTACAGACATGGCTTTTTGTGAATGCTATCAAATGGCAGTTCTCATAGCATTCGCATGTTAATTGCATGCTAAAGGAATGCTAAATGACTGCAGTCAAGTTTGGTAAGGGACAGCACAATTTGAAGGAGGAATCTCTATTTTGTTATGTAAAAAATTGTACCGTAAATAATTGTACATGTAGTAGATGATGACATTGAGAAATAAACATTTGAATTGTCATCAATGAACTCAGCATATGATGTATGAACTGATGGTGCTGGAGTTTCATGTTTGCGGGATAGACAAGTTCCCTTTAGTTGTACCTTTTAAGAGTAATTTCGTGTAAATACTTCATATTTCGTGTAAATAAGTGTCCACGCTAAAAAAAAAAAAAAAAATCGAATTTTGTAATACTTTGTGGGATGAAACGACTTGGGGAGCAAGTAACCAAAATAGACTTTTTAAACTTTTATTTTGCCCGTTGCCATGGTTACAGGCCATTATGTGTTTTGGCCATTCTTTTGCAATTTTGAGGCTGCACAAATTCATTTCAATTCCTTCCATAGTAAAAACGCTCCTCTTAAAACTGCTATGCCTGCACTCTCATCTCTTAATCTTTGGCCTTGAGCATTGTGTAAACACACCCACTCTCAAATTTGTATCCTTGTGGAGACATTTCTTTGTTCTCGTGTAGTAAAGTTTTTGATTTTGAAAGTAAAGTTTCAAAATGCTCTTGTTTTAACCAGAATTAATTTCCTTGGCTGAAATTTGGACTTAATATCCCTCTTTTTAAAACTCTTCCATTTGCGACAGATTAACCCATCTTGGAAATTCCTAGTTTTTGAGTAAAATCCATATATCTATTTCGTGAAAACCTTGTGGAGACCTATTCATCTACATGTATAGAAATTTCCCTGTGAAGACCTTTACAATGTTTTGTTCCCTATTGTGTGCGTGTCTCCACAAGGATACAAATTTCAGCACACCGTCACGCAGACCAGAACACACGAGCGAGGAAGTGGCCCACTGCATTGTGTATAGTTGTCCATGGATCAAAGAGCCTACTTTATTGGATGGATATTCTTCGTCTTATTTTGGACGGTGGTTAACATTGCCCAATCATGATGAATTTTACATTGATACCGGTAGTTAGCTTATGAATCACCAAGTCTACTGTGCGATTAAGAAAGTCAAAGGAGGGCGGTAGCGGAAGTTATGGCGAGTTGAAGATGGTCAGTGCGGCATAAACTGAGCGGAAAAGCGACTTTACACACAAATTTGAACCAAAAACTGGGGAGAGCTGTGAAGTTTATCTAAAAAATGACAGAGTTTAATCGGCTTCTTTTCTAATATAAATCACATTAATTGGAAGCATATTATATCTTCATAATACTCGATTAAGGACGAAAACTTTTACCACGTTTGTTAGTTTGATGACATAAAAACTGAAAATACCCCGCTGATTCCATGTATCGTTCCAACGGGGGATGTTCGAGCGGTTGCATTGAAAAAGAGCGAAAAGGAATTGATATGTCATTTTTTTGCGTTATTTTTAAAGGTCATCAAGCCAAACTGCGAAGTAATGTCACAAAAGTAACTATATCACGACAAAGTATCATCCTTACCCTTACAAGAAAAAAATAGAAACATTTCTGAAAAATAACAGCTTCGCTGTTGAAACCCCTCAGCCAGAGTCAAGTTATCATCCGGAAACCATGATACTTTAACTCAATATGGTGACCTTGACCTTTTGACCCCAAAACCAATCCCAACTTGCCTGTACCCAGGGGCAACCCCCTACC